ACACACTCTACTCTAAAGTATGGTTAAAAGATAATCAGGCCTGCGATCACAATCAGTAGTCCATACTAATACTATAATTCTGTCTACCTGCTTGCATGCCTCTCTGCCTCCATATTGCCTGCTTGACTGCCTATCTGCTTATCTGTTTCGCTTGCTTACATGTTGCTTAAATGTGCATTGCGTTTTGTTTCGTATTGCTCTGTATTGTTTGTTCCTGGTGTCCTGCTAATATGCTGCATTGCTACTATGTTTGTCTGTTTGCCTGATGCAACCTACCTGCTGGCTGAAGCTTATTTTCCTGTCTTTTAATGTGCTTGATGTGCTTTCCAATGTGATTATGTGCCACTTCTTGTCTTTTACTGTGTGTGTTATGCCTTCTATTCTGATCCATGTGCTTTTATATGTGCTGTGCTGTATATTTTACTGTTACTACGAAATGTTGATTGTAATGTTTTTTTCTTTTAGCTGGCATTTAGCACCTTGCCTGGGGACTGCAGTTGGACACTAGCTACTCAGCTAAAACTGGCACATTTACAGAAATGTTCATTAATGTGCACTGTCCCTGTACAAATAAACAAATAAATAAAAATAAAAATTATCTTGAATAACCAGGGGTCCGTTTCACAAAGCAGGTTTAGTGAAAACTCAGAGTCTGTTATCCCTGAAATGAGGGAAACTCTGAGTTTTCCGTTTCAAAAAGGGAGGTAACTCAAACCAGAGAAAGAGGGGTAACTCTAGCCTGTTTCAGAGAGAGAGGTAACTTAAGCTCTCGGTCAGTTACCGTAATAACAGACTCTATGAACCTAACCTGGTCGGGACCAGGTTTTTGTCGATGAACCTCGAGTTTCTCTCTGTCTCCGCCCTCTTTCAGAGCCACACACTCCATTTGATTTCCTCATTCATTCAGTCAGCAGGCGAGTTTTGGCGTAGCCTAGTTCTGCCGTCTGTCATTTTAAAAAAATCAGAGTCAGTATATTAGAAGTCCATTAGGCACAGTAGGTGTCGACTTTTTTCACTAACATGGCATGTCCTTTTGATAACGATCCTGTGGATGAAGGTGCAGCATTACTGCGCAGAGAATTAAATATTCGTCGGGAGATGGTTATCAGACCGCGCATAGATGTTTTAGCATTTCCACACAATTATCTTTTTGAGCTGTACCGTTTCACGTCACAGTCCATCATCTACACAACCTAATCCGTCCTTACATTTGCAACATTACCAATCGTAGTCATGCTCTCACATCCCAGCAGATATTGTGTGTTGCGCTGCGTTTCTTTGCAAATGGAAGTTTTTTGTACAATGTCGGAGATGCTGAGCACTTGAGTAAGGCAACTGTACGCAGGGCGGTCAGAAAAGTGTGCTCGTTTTATGGGCATCTGCCTTCTTTCTGTTCGCTGAGTAGAAGTCTGTGTTAGTTTAAATAGGCTTAATTATTTAACAGAACATGATATAGATGAGAAGATATTTATGTGTGTGAAAACAGCATTATGTTGGGGATAAAACAACTGCACAGTCAAACAGCCACTTAATATTTACTTTACAATGTAAAACATGATCAAAATGAGGTACCCCCATGAGATTATGCCGAGGTCTTACCTGTTTGAACAATGTTTTTATATTTCATCCTAAACTGCTGCCAAGTGCGCTTCTCCCCCGCGGGATTGCACCTAAATGAAATAAATTAATAGGCTACCATTCAAGCAGTTTTCCCCTGTAATATTATTGTGATTGCAAAGGACTACATTTAAACTTACGCATTGACCCGAGCAGCAATGTTCTCCCACGCCGTCTCCCTCTCTTTTGCAGCTGCAGCGGTGTTGTACTTCTTTTTGAAAACGTGTGCAAACTCGCCGTATGAGCGCATTAAGATTTCTAATTCTAGTGGGGTGAAAAACGCAGCCCTCCTCTTCCCCGTTGCTATGGTGACTCGTCGAATCGGGGCTCCATTGATGCTGGCTTTTTATAGTTGTGGTGCACGCGCTTAACTCCAGGTGAAACTACTCTGAGTTGATTAAACTGATTCAAATCAGCTGTTCTGGAACCAGAAACTCAGAGTAGATCAACTCAGAGTTCAGGATTAGACTCAGAGTTTGTTGAACCTGCTTTGTGAAACGGACCCCAGGTCATGATTTCTGGAAAGAGACATTGCTGTTGAGTTTTTCACATGTATTTTTTGGCACTTTGAGCACCACAAGCTGAGTGATATCTAGTTCCATTATACTGGAGAGAAGGCAGAACAATCTAGACTGATAAACGGCACTGTAAAGAGGAAAAATATGTTTCTGATTTTGGAGTGATCTGTCCCTTTAAGAACAACAGCTTGTGTTTTTATAGCACATTTAGTAAAGAGGTGCAGCCATAAGTTCTTTACAAAACATTATCAATAAAAGGAAAAAACTAAGTGAGGCACAAAACTAGGCAGTATTGAATCTGACGACATTAAAATGAACCTTAAACTGTTGTAAAAATGTGTTTTAAAAGTATTTTAACACCAAATAATAAAATGAAGAGAAAAGGGATAGGTTTCCCGGACATGCAGCAGTCAAACTTGTTTGTGTGCCAGCACGAAGATATTCCACTTTAATGAGATAATGACAGTAAAACTGAGTTCACCTCGCCCTGCTGTGACATTTAAACATCCTCATCTTACCACGAAGGAGCCTCGGATCAGAGACAGCAGGTTCCTGCACACAGGCAGCAGGATCAGCATGCAGTTAAAGTTGAGGACAGCCGCTGGAGCTCTGGCCCAGGCCAAGGCAGACTGAAATATGAATATATGTATTTATTATTATGAGTATGAACAAGCCTCATGGCTGACGTCTTCATCTGTTTTTTACTCACCCCTAAAAGATGACGCGTGTAGAAAAACTGATCCCCCAAATCGTAGAATAAGTAAAACCAGACGAAAAGGAAGATGTTGATGCCCATCCACACCACCTGCAGCCAGGATCCATCACAAAGTTCATTACTGTTAATCTTATTTGGGTTTGCGAAGCAGGAGTTTTGACATTCAGGTTTTTTTAACGGAATACCTGCGCATTTTACGCACAAATGCTGTGCGTAAATTCTCCCTCATGTCACCGTTGAGCATCTCTGCGATTTTAAATATTAAATTCCTAAGATGTAAATAAGAACTCACCAGTATGAACGATGTAAGGCCATTGTTGATAATCCAGTTACCCATGATGAACTCGTTATCTCGACTCAGCTGCAGCAGCTTCCCGCATCTTCAGCCTGCCTGCGCTTTTATCCGTCACCTTCCTAGCCGGACTCCTCCTCCCTCCTCACCTCTGCACAGGTGTAAAGGTGATGTGACGCAAGGAAACAAAGCTTACAGCGAGTGTAATTGCGTTGTAGAGGAAGTTTAGAGGAGAGGCTTCCCTCCTGCAGCGGAGTGACCACATTCCTGCCTGCTGGAAAAACAAGTATGGACGACAGGAATGAGGAAGCGTCTGTTGCAGCGCTCAGGAATTTTTACTCCGCTGGACGTGACGCAATTCCTTTTATTGGATGTGTAAAGTTTTATTGTATGTGTGACAGGAAGGTGTGAGTGGGCATTAATGAGGTGAACAACCAGTGTGTGGACATCAGATTATTTTATTTAATTTTTCAAGTAAAACAATAGTAGTCAAGGCACTGAACCAACAAACAAGAAAACAAGACAAAACATAAAAAAATAAGCAAATTGTGAAAGCACTTCGTTAAATTAGAAGCTCATTCAGTGTCAGTGTGGTTAATGCATCATTAGCCGGAAGTTTAAAGGGACAGTTCGGATTTTTTGTTCTTTTTGAAGTGGGGTTGTATGAGGTACTTATTTATAGTCAGTGTATAACCTATAGTAGATGTCAGTCGGCATGCCCCCAGTTTGGAGAAACAGGTTGGTGTCAGGCCAACAAACACCGACCTTCACCCAGGAGAGCAGTGTTCACGTCCTGTAAGATTCTAAAGCCAAACCCTGTTCTGTTAGTAGTTCAAGACAAAAAAAAATTCAATTTGCATGTTGTACCGACGTTCTGTGTTTATTTTGAAAGAGACGTTAAATTTCCTGTGAAAACGGAAGTGTATTTTGAAAGAAGACAATGCATGTAACAGGCAGAACATCGACAACCAACGCACCCGAGGTACCTTTCAACTTGTATCTGGACGTGGAAAGTCCATGACCAAATGTCGATATGTGACGAAGTTGGAGTGAGAGCATGTTAAGTGTACGCTATATTGAGAGTATTTCCACCACTTTAACTTCTTGTCGCACAGCCCCTTTCGATGGGGAAGCAGTTAAGGGCTTCAGTTCCCCATCTATGTTCTAGTCAAAGCCACCAGACTCCGTTGACAAAAACAGTAATTTTAGCTCGCTGAACACGGGAGCTGCTGGTCTACTGCTGCTTCGGTCAGGTAGTTAGTTTGTGTTACTGTGTGACTTCGGTTAATCTGAACTTGACCCTTATATACACCAAAGTAACACAATAATACAAGCAAACTAACTGTTCGAGGCAGCGGTAGACCAGCAGCCCATGCGCTCAGCTATGTTAAATCACTGTTTTTCTCAATGGAGTCTGGCTTTGAAGAGATAAATATAATGGCTTCATTTTAACGATGGAAAGCAGTGAAAATACTCTCAATATAGTGTAGACTTTTAACTGATATTGATTTTTTTAGCTAGCTGAAATACATTTTGTTGCTGCCCTGTCCACAGCAGCCTGCTTCTCTACACTGGGGATGTGTCGTCTGACATCTACTGTTTGTAATACACTGTCTATAGTTAAGTACCCCATACAACCCCACTTCAAAAAAGGCTGAACTATCCCTTTAAGTTTGAAAGACACACTTGATATTCCCTAGTCTTTTTCAACATGTTTTTACATGTTTTGTGTATTTTCTGTCAAAGTCAAACCTGTTTCTCGAGGCAACCAGACTGAACAGTGAACAACAAGAGGCATTCATCACAGCAGGTTTATGTACTGTAGTTGGGTATGAGGAAGCTAATTTCATCTTCTGTCTGACCTTTTCTCACCCTCCTGCTGTTTTTTTTTTTTTGTTTTTTTTTTTGCGTTGTCTCTTTAGTGCAGATGCAAACGTGTGCAAACGGGGACAGTCATGGTGTGAAAACCCTGAGAGGAAGTAAACTGGGGGTGTCCCGGTCAGTCTTTCGGACACTCTTGGCACGTTTCCCACACACCTGGCTCAGCCCTGTGCACGGCCCACTGCTGCTCTCTCAAGGCGGCCTTTGTGCATCGCTGCATATCTCGACATGCTACATTCTTTGGTGTACTGGGGCCTCGCTGTGCCCCGAGCGTACGTAATCACCCTTGATAAAGACGTCAGGAGTGAACCTGAACCCTCACAACCGTGAATGAATAAAGTTTAGTGCACTTAAGAGGAAAAGTTTGTTCTCTAACACCTCACTAGCTGAAAAACACTCTGGTTTTTGTGTTTTAGTACTCGAGGTCTTGAGGCTGAGATGCATTTCTACATTAGAGAGATTGTTAATTTAATCCCCCATGAAGCTGTTCTCAGGCTGCGTCCATAATGTCTTCAACTATAGCCGTCTCCCGCTCCTCCAGCTGACTGGTGAGGTTGACGGGTTGTGAGTTCTGGGGGTCCAGCAGCTGCACTGGCTCATCTGGCATCAGCACCATGGTTGCAGCAGTAGAGTACGAGGGTGGTGGCTTCCCTCTCGCTCCTCTACTTCCAGAACGGCAGCAGACGCAGTGCAGGCAGTCGTGCACATTGTACTTGAAGAGGCGTCTGCAGGGGTGGCAGAACTGGTAGAAGAGCAGCATGAAGAGCACGGCCAGGCTGTAGCAGATCAGCAGCTGCACAGCCAGCAGCGGCGCACACACGTACTCATAGAAGTCTGACTTGAAGAAATACCAGAGCGTGATGAGGAGGAAGTTCTCTACAAAGCGACCGCAATAGTACATGGCCAGGCGGTCCCAGTGCTGCTTCCTGTCGATCAGCTCACGGTGGGAGAGGTCCAGCTGCACCGCCGACCAGCAGAAGATGTTGATGCAGGCGTAGAGCAGCGTGAACATGCACAGCACAATTGTGGTGCCCAGCTTAGAGAAGTTTTTCTCCACAGTCTCAGTCAGCGAGCCTTTCTTGGCCCAGAACTCGACCCAGGGGAGGAAGAAGAAGAAGAGCAGGTTAACCATGCCGACGAGGATCACCCAGTGTGTGAGCGCCGTGCTGAAGAGGACCAGAGCGGTGATCCGGGCGGCGATCTCCAAGCCTCTCCACACGATCATGACCAGGTAGGCGATAGGGCGCAGACGCACCTTGTAGTCGTCATATCTGATCTGGATGGCCAGGACGCTGCACACGAGAGCCCCATACGTGATGGACATCAGGGTGATGATCATCAGAGCCACTGAAAACAAACACAAGTCATCTGTTACACTCATATCAACAGCATCACTGGACCACAGAGAACTCCTCATATTATAAACACAAAGTTATCATCATACATTATGTAAACTCCCTGGCATGGTAAATAACTGATGCTCACAAACATGTAGCTTAAAGCACTCATATGGTACAAACACTGTTGGTTGACCAGACTAAATTATCTCCACAACTGTTGAATGTATTATTATTAAATTCAGTACATTCAGACATTAATGTCCCTCTAAGGATGAATTTGATGATCCCTTAATTCTTCCTCTAGCGGCATCATCGGGTCCAACTTTAAATTTTTTTTAATGCTTCACATACCTGCAAATCTAATGACACTCCCACCAGCCCCAGCTGTACTGTGTTTACTGAAAACCAGCAACATAGACTGTATAGAAGTATTGGACGTAACTACCATTGGTTTGTGGACTCTTGATGTGAAACCTCGAGTTTGGCATTTTGGTCGTTGCCATCTTGGTTTTTTGGAGCCATTAAGTGACCATAATTGGACGAGAGGGCGGAGCTGTGCAGGAGTGGGGGAAGGATCTGACTAAGAACCCAAGGACAACACTGTGGTAGGGACTTGTTGATCAGAAAGTAGCCCTGAATCATTCCCTAATATATTGTCTATTGTACTCTACATGGGACCATAATTTACAAAATGAACATCATGCTGTATTGAAAATGACATGAACCTAGCGACTGAGACCATAAAGTCATTAGGAGAATGTTTACTGAGATAATAAATCAAGCAAGAAGTGGGGTCATTTTCTCATAGATTGCTTTACTATTGGACTTCCTTTTGCCACCACTGCCCACTGGAAATAATGCAAGCGTTAAACTGACTTCACTTTTCAGACCTGGGTTCTCATTTATAAAACAGTGCGTAAGATGCGTACTAAAAATTTACCTATGAACAAAAGCCAAAAGTGGTGTGCCAAAAATATTCAACAAGTTCTACAGGCTTCCACCTCACAATCTGCGTCGCCAATTTCCCGTCTCCAAAATGTTCGTTAGCGTGGGTTAAACTTTCTCCCATCAAGTCTGTTTTTATACATCACAACTTTTGCTAACCCCTTGCTAACCTAGCAAATGCTAGCATGCTAACACACTATACTAAGATTATGAACATGGCAAACATTATACCTGCTTAACATTAGCATGTTAGCATTAGACATAAGTCAGGCCTATTCAATTGGCGGCCTGTGGGCCCCATCTGGCCCAGAAGCAACCTCAGAGGGGCCCAGCATACATGAATCAGATATATCGGTACGACAAAAATGGCTGCAGCCTGACTGCTTTAAACACTGATAAACACTGATGAACACTTATTCTGGTGTTCAGCTTGCACACATCTCCATCTTTTTATCTGATATCTTCAATAAACAAACACCGGTCGGCTCATTAATAACAGTGGAGCGAAACACAGATAAGACTAACTGGGTTATTTGAGGTTATTTAAATTCCTCCTTCCTCACATAATGGCATTTATGTAAACTAAAACTGGCAGTGACATTTAGTTTTATGTGTTCAGTATTAAATCGAGATGATGAGTCACAGTCTGAAGGAGCTGCCAACCTCAAATAATTTCATTATTTCCAGAGTGCAACACTATCAGATACTCATACAGAGGAACAGTAGCATGAACCCCGACCCGTCCATCACTCTTACATCTTGGCGGGAAGAAGTATTTCTCCTGGATGGTGGCGTACAGCTGGAGCGTCAGTTGAGGCGCAGAGCCCAGAAAAGCCTGGATGACCGCGACGCGTTTGAAGGCGTTCCTGTGAGTAGCCAGGTTGCGCTCCGACTGGCCGATTTCCCACTCCATGGGCATCCCCTGCCCCTTCTTCAGACTGATCTTCCTGGAGATGGTGACATATGGCTCCTCCTTTTTACCCGCCTTGAAATAGATCACCAGAGCCTCGAAACACCTGAGGATGTAATGACAGTGTGAGTGAGAGTGGAGTGATGGTTTCACACCAACAGAGGGCAGTGCAAGGTTATATTTAAGTTACATGATGTGTTTTAACATCATAGTGTGAATATGCGAGGACAAGAAACACTTTGAAAGCACAAATATGAGTAGAATAAAGCAAAGTATCGGGAGTTATATTCAGCAATTTGTTGTTGTGGCTTATTTTCAGTCTGGGAACTTAAAATTACAACCCTGATTCTGAAAAAAGTTGGACCTCTGGTGTAAAATGTAAATTAAAAACAGATTTCAATGATTTGCAAATCCTTTTCTACACCTAATTCATTGAATACAGGACAAATAAGAGATATTTAATTTAGATTTTTTGTAAATATATGCTCATTCTTGTTTGATGCCTGCAACATGTCCCCAAAAAGTTGTGACAGGAGCATGTTTACCACTGTGTTTCATCACCTTTTCTTTTAAGCGTTTGGGAACTGATGACACTAAAGTGAAATTTCTGTCTCAATATTTACCAGCAGGCCCTGAAAAACCAACATTTAAAGACTGTGTGTGTGGAGGAAAGGACCAAAATCCCATCTGAACACTGTGAGACATTGGTTTCCTTATTCAGCAGCGTCTAGAAGCTGGCATTGCAAACAAAGGCTTCTTCACCAAGAATTAAATACACTTGAGTGAGTGTTTCATACTTTTTGTCCTGTGTTATTCCACTTTATTGCACGTTATTTTTATTGACTGAAATGTTACACTTCTTTTTCTGTGTAGCTTTATTGTGTTGGTCCAAAGTTCATGTGGATAGCTGCATTGGAAAAATGTGTAATGGAGAAGTTTGATGTGGCGAGTATTTAATTTCCACACTGTGTGTCGACAAGGACTTACAAGTCACTGCATTCTGTTTTTATGTATGTTGGACTCAGGGTTGTAGGTATTTGTCATTAACACAGCACTAATCTGTGAAATGTTATCTCATGTAAGCGCTCCAACGTAAACAGAACTATCTTTGTAAATCACAGCTACACAAACACAAGCACGACACAGGGAGACCAGCAGAGGGCAGGCAGAAGAAAGAAAACACAGTTCTCTGAGGCCTGAATGGCTCAACTGAAAATCTCTGGGTGTGGCTCTGGTAATGTTTGCAAGGTAAATGCTCCCACTGTTCAGCCACAGGGGTGAAACCAACACTATTCATGAGGAGGAGAACATGTTTGTCACTGCAAAAGGTTTCTTTACAACACTGGCTTCCTGTCTGCCAGAGAGCTGATTTCAAAATACTACTGTTGGTTTCTAAAGCACTGAATGGTTTAGGAACCAAATACATATTTGGGCCCGTATTTATCAAGCTTCTTAGAATTACTCCTAAGAGCACTGCTAAGAGTCGACTTATGACTAAAAAAATTCTTCGCTGAAAGCTGCACTTAAAAGTTAGTTATCAAGCGTCATACTTTTAGTGAAGTGTAGGACTGAATCTTAAGTGTCGGTCTCAGAGCTGAATCATGGCAGTACTGTGTGCCATAAACGAAATTTTAGGTGACGTCACTTCCAAGTCCATAGAAATGACCAATCACTGAAGGGAATCCCTTATCTAAGAATATATAAATATCTTAGAAATATCTCACTGAATAGTTAATTGGACAATGGGAGTGTATATTTTGACAATAATCTACAAATAATACAAAACATAAAATATGCATTGGCAATGAATCAAAAATAAATGTTTCCTTATCTTTCCAATTCATTAATTAGGCAACTAACTTGTGTGCGGTTAATTGAGTGGCTCTATATACTGCAGCCACAGTCCACCAAGCTGAAACCAACATGGAACCAAAAAGAAAACCAAACTGGAGAGAAGAAGAGATACTATCAGAAGGACGGATGTTTCTAGGGACTCTCCCATCTCCATCTCCTCCCTCATCGGTGTAGTTGGGAAGTCAATGAAACGCATGACGAGGTGAGGAGCAATAAGGGCCATTATTGTTTCCATAACAATTCTGCCAATTGACGGTTGTGATGGCCCCAAATAATCAGCAATACACTGTTGCATTTTTCCAGTGGCAAGATATCGAAGCATTGTGATGACCTTTAATTCTGCTGTGAAAGCTCTGCTGCGTGATGTTACTGATGAGATGACGTCCCTTATTAAATCTGTGACAATAACAATACCCGCTTTGTCCAAACGATACCGTTTGATCAGCTGCTCGTCATCAAACAAAGCCAGGACATCCTTCCACTCCCGGAACGTTCGCGCACGTCTCTCTCGCCTCACTGCCATCCTCTACTGGCAACTCCTAACCACTTAGGACACCTCTGGAGGTCTCTTAAATATCTGGGGGAGTAGGAGTGATTCTTAGACTTGAGAAGGTTGATAAATAGCTTTTATTCTTAAGTTTGAGAGTAGGACTAAATTTCACAAATTCTCAGCACTTAAGACTAAAATGGCACTCTAAGACGCTTGATAAATACGGCCCCTGACCTTCTGCAACATTATAAACCGTCAGGTCATCTGGGAAAGGTCTGCTTTGTGTCCTTAGAGTCAGGACCAAACATGGAGATGCAGAGTTTAGTTTATATGTACACATGTCTGGAACAAACTCCCAGAAAACTGCAGGTATGCTGCAACTCAGTAAATATTTATTCATTTACATTTACTTACACTGCACTGTAGCATTCATTCTTACATTACACACCTGTCTCAGTATATTTCAACTTGTCATATTTTCTATTCTCTAGCTCTTACCTGGCGTCCTTTTATAATGTGTTTCTTTTGTACTTTGTCTCGATAGTTTTATGTGGATCACTCTGAATTGCCTTGCTGCTGAAATGTGCTATAAAGATAAACTCGTCTTGCCGTCTGTGCAGACTGCCGACTTGAAGAAAGTATTTAAGTCTTTGACAAATATTTGCTTTTCTGGTATATTGGCATACATTGTTTCTGCATGGAAAAAAAACCCTTAAAATGCTTCCAGACATCATTCATGTGACACTGTGGATATATTTGTAATGATATTTGCATTCATACTGTGAATTTGTATATTGAACATTGTTCTTTGGATACTTCCTTTCCTCGTGAGATCTTATTTTCATATTATCAGATATTATATATTCTTATTACCTATAAAATGACCTGAACCTCAGAGTGCTGCACATCTGTGTTTAACACACAGACCTCGCCCTGTGAGGACTCCCACTGCTGCACTAAATCTCACATCACTGTGCTGGAATGTTATCTTTTGCTCCAAAATATCCAACTTTGGACATAAGACTTGAATCTACTTCTCCATGGTTCAACTATGCGCTGCTGTCCAGACCCTCCGGAGTCAGCGGTCGGACATGTTGCTTCAGCTGCTGCGTGTAGGGAAACTGTACTCTTTACTCACAGTGTAAAGGCAGCGCGGTGCCAAGCTCCCACACTCGTCCCTGAACTGTGTTTGACCCAAACGTCAACAGGCTGGCAGGGGAAATCATGTCGTTATTTGGAAGGCTGCTCTTATCTCTACACCAGCACACACACACTTCGAGTGTATTCACTCTCAGACTGATAGCTACAGGCAGATGAGGGTCGTTCCGCTTTAGCGTACAAGGTCTATGATAGAGAAACAGCAAAGGCACAAAAACCTGATTTACTGACATCCTTTCCCTGGAAACCTGGCAGCACAACAAGGCCCAGGACGCAGTGTGAGGTTAGTGAGCTCGAGCCAGCATGCACTTAGGATTCAGACTGAATTTCACTTAGGGGAGAGGGAAAAAAAAAACCCAGCAGGCCTGATGAATGCATTAGCCAAGTGAATCAATATGCTGCTTCCGAGGCAGCCACTTATAGATTTATAAAAGGAAACACACAGACCACTGCTCTGTATTTGCAGTCTAAACATGCAATCTCTTCCTTCAGTGTGTGAACAACAATTACCACAAGAACACGATGGAATTGGCTTCAGAAAGAAGTCAAGACACTGAAATACTGATAGTCTCTGACTAAAGGGCGTCGCAGCATTCAGGAAATTCTTTCAAGAGCTCTTTAGCAAGATCCTCTTGTTTTGGTCACTTGGGATTACCTCATCAGGCTCATCACGCTCACACTAACACGGCCTCGTCAGGCGGTGGGGAGCTTTTGAAACACAGACAGACACCAAACAACGAGCTGTACATGCCGAGACTGGTCCAAGTTGACAGTAATTATGTAGTTTCTGTCCTTGCTTTAGGAGCGGGATCGTATAAGGAGACGAGTCAGGACAAGCTGCAAATAACCCGACCCCCTCCTGAAAGTGGCCATATTGACTGACAGTGAGGATCCTGTGTCTTATTATCTTCAAGTAGACTCCAAATACGGCTGCAACTAATGATTATATTCATTGTTGATTAATCTGTCAATTATCTTTTTGATTCATTGATTAGTTGTTTAGTCTGTAAAATGTGTTTTGTCCACAACCCAAATATATTCAGTTTATTGTCATATAGAAGTAAAGAAACACAGAAAATATTCACATTTAAGAAGCTGGAATCAGAGAATTTGGACTTTTTTTCTCATTTAAACTGATTAATCCATCATCAAATTAGTTGATTAATTTAAAGGTTGACAACTGATCACTGAATCGATTAATTGTTGCAACTCTAACTCCAAAACAACTAAGGCTCTTAAAAAAAAGTTGACATGCAGTCATGTGTGAAAATTGTGACCTGAAATGCTGCCTCAGACAGACATGGCATGTTTGACTGTACAACCACAAGATCAGCAAATTACACCACCATCCCTGAGTCACACAGGAAACCTCCCATCTGAGCCAAGAGGGAGCAGCAAGAGGTGATTGTTTACAGTAGCACAGTATGGAATGAGACGAGCTCGAAATAAAACTGAAGAATAGAGTGCAGAACAGAACAGAAGGAAATGTTCTGTAATTGCAACACTACAATTTGTTTTCTGGCAGCATTAAAAGCATCAGAGACGTCACAGCTCAGTGTGACATTTGATAACAGCCAAAAACATTCACAAAACTCACATTAGAG